TCTATATTATCAATAATGTTATACTGACTCGCATAACATATTAATTACAATGCACATATCTGTATCCAACTCAATACCTTAAATTAACAAATCAATACACAGCCTTAGTAAAACACAAAGCACATCTGGCAAGATCAGTTCCAAACTCAACCATACACCACCCCGATATCTATACTCTAAAAACACTAACTCAAATACAACAACAACAACACATCCAAACCTTAGACCATACCTTAAACTCACTTAACTTTGAACAGTCATCTCTCAAAGTCAGACTCCAATAACTTCAAAATGTAGCACATACTAACTTGTCAATTCTAATCGAAAACCTAGTCTTTCCATCTCATGAAAACCAAACACATACTGCCCAATTAATCCTGACTCTACATAGCCTAAATATAATACTTATTCAACATGCTAACAACTAGCCAATTCCCCTCAACACCCCTGGCACATCAATTAACACAATAATTAACCAACTCAAACAGGCCCAATCCATCAAAACCAACCTTAACAAACACAAGATAGGATTTATTGAACAATTCCTTAATATATACAGTGCGGGATAGCAAGAGACATCCAATTTATATATATAGGCACCAATTTTTGGCACTTATATAATCAATTCTGATTGGCTAATTTTTGAATAATTGATTTTGATTGGTTAAAAACTTATATATATATATTTTTTTAATATTAAACGCCAATTTTTTGAACTCATATAAACTTTAATCTCTTATAACTTTTTTAAACCAAAGAATAAAAAAAATCCTCTGACGTAGCTAACAACTCTTTCTGACGATTACTTGAACCATATTTTCTGAAAAAAACAATTACTAAGAAAAAACATTGGACATCGAGGCAACCTCACGTTGTGAGGTCTAAATTATAAGACGTAGGAAAATGGACATAAGACAGTACTTGTTGTTTAGAGATAGCTCTTATACACTTCCTTGCTGACAGGTTTAGAGTTTATCACTCACTGCATTACGGCACTTGTCATTTAGAGATAGTTCTCATATGCTACCTGCCGACAAGCTTAGAGTTTATCACTCACTGAAAAAATTGAGTACTATGCATGTCGTGGCCAGAGGGTTAAATCTAAGTAAAAGAAAACTCATACTCCTTTAAGTGCTCTCAAGTAGTCTTTCATCTATTTTTCATTTTTGCTGCTCTTTCCAAAATTTTCAACAAAAAGTGGGCGATTTGGCTTACTTTCTCCAAAAGATCGGCATTGTTTATACCTTCCTAATTCAAACGAACTTAGTAGAATGCAACCACGTGTTTGTTTGTTTATCAATATGTTGCTACGGTACAGGGAAGAGACCAGTCCCTCTGTTTAGAAGATACCCGAGTAAAGTCAGTGCCCGGAAGGAGTTCCTAACGATAAGATGACATCTTACAATTGAGATATATTAATTAGTTGCAATTATTATATAATTTTTTAGCCTTGCACAGCTTATAATAGTGCTTTTTTTTAGTGTGATGTTCGTCATAACCATACTATTCCTTTTTTTGCTTTTTTTATCTTCTTCCATTTATGATGGAATCTTTTTTAGAAATTTAGTTTTTTTTTTTCTTGTTTTGTGTCTTCTCCTAAACTTGTTTTTTTCTTTCATAAAATATGGTATTTATTTTTTTCCTTATGTATAAATAAGAGATCATGTATTCTGCTCGGACTTAGGTAGAAAAAGTTTAAAGAAGGGATAGGTGGTCATGACACGTGGCAGGAAGCGTCTTTTTGAGATAGTATTTGATTTCAAGTTCAGAAGTAGATACCAAGGAGGGAAACTCCTGCTATAGCAGGTCAAATATAGGTACCCAGTGGGTAACCGGGTTAGTCTTAACTTGTAATTTAGGTATAGTTGGTGGCCTTCGAGCACGGCACTTGTCGTTTAGAAATAGTTCTCATACACTATCTGCTGACAATTTCAGAGTTTATCACTCACCGATAAGTCTCTCTAAAAATTTAATAGACTAGAGGATTATTACAAGCCTAATAAAGTTGAGGCATGATTGCCAAATTAGTACAAAAAAAAAAAAAAAAAAATTCTCTGACAGAAATATAGTTTATCTAAAAATCTATCAATTTGTCAGAGAGTTTTTTGATTTAGCTTGTTTTAAAAAAAGTTATAACACTTTAAAGTTCTATTAATAGATATTGGATATCTCTTGCTGTCCCGCACTGTACAACAATCTTATACTCGAATGGAAACAAATTTATTACAATATCAACAAAATACCATGAGGCCGAATCCCTAAATAGTTTCAAACAGTCCAAAGCTCAATTGAAAACAATGCTAACCTTTCTACAAACCTAATTCATTTATTTTTGGAAATATCTTAACAAACAAACCTACCTGGATTATCACATCTAAAATCTTCAGAAAAGTCACAAGCATCCACAACAATAATGCAACAATACAATATTACAAACTAGATCATGCAACTCTAACCCTACATCATTGTACCAACTACATTCAAAACAACAAAACACCAAAAAAAGTGAACTGTATATTCTGACAACCAACAAAACCTTTACACCCTATCCAAGTTAATAAAAAAAAAACAGATCCACGCATATATACCAAGCCTATTTACAAAAATCTAATACAGTTATATAGCAAAAACCAAACTGTTAGTCAGTCTCCCAACTCAGACATATCACATTACACACAGGCTATCTCAGATATTTACAAACAATCAACAAAAGATCTAGGAAATATTCACACAAAATAATTTCTCACAACAAATCAAAGTTCACATATCAGCATTAACAAAACCAAACAACATACAAAACAACCCAGCAGCACAAGCAACCTTTGACTAAACAAAAATGATATGGATTACCACAAACACTTACTGGTACTCTTCAACTCACACTATACTTTTGAACATTATCCTCATCCTAGTCACTATCTCTCTTAAAGCCCACATAACTATAAACACTAATTTAACTTGGTTAATCAAATATCTAGAGACTCAAACATACAATCTTTATCATTTTAGAAAAACTAATTTCAACTAGCTACAACACATCATATATATAGTAATAATAGCAAAAGAATTGTGGTAGCTGATGCTGAAATTGGCTGATGCTAAAATTGGAGACCTCTATTTAAATCTACAATACCTACTAAAATTCATTTATACTTTTTTATTAATAAAACTACCCTAAACCCTAACCTAACTCTAAAAAAAAACCCTAACAAAAGGCCCCAAAAAATTTTAAAATTTAATATTAAAATATTTAAAATCTCAGCATCAGCCAATTTTAGTATCAGCTACTACAAGAATTATCCATCACACCTACCTTCTCTAGCGAAAAACTTCCTAAAGCATATCTATTACCACTAAAACTACAAATTAATCTAGACCCAAGTCCAATTCGGTTCAGTTCACTTCACCGACGTTCGTTTCGTAGAAATAACATTTCACCGACAACAATTCACCAACATGTTATTTCACCAACATTTATTTTCTATTTCACCGACAGTTTATTTTACTGAAACTCATTTTACTGACAAAATAATTCTGGTCATTGTTATTAAGGTCAGGTTAAAATTAAAATTAAGGTTAGCAGAATTTATAAAAAAAAATTTGTCTATGAAATAAGCTTCTGTGAAATAAATTGTCAGTAAAATAAACTTGTCTGCGAATTAAGTGTCAGTAAAATAAACATGTCGGTGAATATTTTTTGGTAAAATGTTATGTCTACGAAACGAGCATCAGTGAAGTGATACGTATCCGTCCAATTATACAATCTTCTTTCATATTTAATGTTTTAAACACACCAAGCACTTACTTGCTTCACCAACTTACCAAAGCCTTAATCAAAAGTCAAGCAAGAATAAACTGGCTCCACCAAGACAAAATATACTAAACTCAACAATATTTCAAGAACATCAACTGAAAACTTACCTTCAAACAAATAAATTATGAAAACAAATCATTACAAAGATCTACAAAACCTAAAAAAGCAAATCTAAAGGCATTCAAAATTAAACTAATAACATTTGAGCTACTTACCTACTCCATACTCTATTATAAAAATTCACAAAAATACTTGAACCCTACTGCGCTAAGTGCCCAAACCTGGTAGAAGATATTCCTTACTTACTTATATATCTAGCCAATAACACAACACTTCAAACAATCATAGCCCAAGCTATAAATGATATTAGCCAAAAAAATCAACTGGCAACACCAAATACTAATCTCTTCATAAACAAATTTATAGAAACACATATCAGCAAATGACTCTCTCTAGATATTATATGAGACTGCATAACAGGACCCTTCTAAAATCCAGCAAACAATCAAAGTTTCACACCTGAGTTATATTATAAAATAATAAAACAAATACAAGAAGTGATATAGAAACCAAGCTAACAAAACTAACAAATATTTCATATAAATAATCAAGTGCCAACTAGCTACAATCAATCTAACTATGACCACCACCCAACTCAAACATACTTTCTACAATGGCTACAAGAATTTATTACCAATAATTGAAGATACTCTAACAACATAGTCTAGAGGTCTTGACCTTTCTAGCTAAGAATGGGTCGAGAGTAAATTTTAGAAATAAATAGCTCTAACCTTATATTCTCCTATATATAAATATGTATTCTTATTATATAATTCAATTATATTTATAATAAAGTGAATCAAGGAAAGACCTCTCTTAAAAAAAAAAAAAAAAAAAAACAAGAGCTAAATATGTATTACAACAAACTGGAATATCATTGTTATAGCAATAGTCAAAATATGCATTTTTTCTATTTTTATCAGTAACTTTTCTTGTATTTTCACTTTTTTAAAAAGCAATTAGTTGCCTCTTTATAACTATATCATGCATATTTTTATCTAGACTTTCAAATTCAGCCCAACATGCAAGAAACTTTTTATATTTGATTTTCTCAAAACAAGATTGCTTAGAACAACATAAGCATTTTCTTTTTTCAAAAAATTTTTGAATTTTTAATTTTAGTTCATTATAGATTTTGTCTTCAATATAATTATCAGATAAATCTATAAAATTAAACTCTTTTAATTTACTTAAAGGGATGTTATTATCAATATCAGATAATAGTTCATTATCTAATAAAGAGTTAAATTCTTTGTCACTTTTAGAATCTAAATATTCTGTATAAAAAGTGTTGTCCAAATCTTCTGAAGCAGCAACAATAACTTCATTCATGCTATTGTCATTGGAATATATATTATATTCCATATTTTTACCAAAGATATAAGTGTAAAAATATTAAAAAATTCTTATAAACTTCTTTAGATTCTTTTTATCCATATTATTATCTGTTATATATATATATATATACATATATATGGGGTGGAGTCAATAGAAATGGGACAAATTTATTAGATAAATTTGTCCCATTTCTATTGACTTCACCCCATATGTATATACATACTGTATGTCTAAATTATCTTATACACTTATCAATTTTGGGTATTTAGAGAAATGCAAAAGTACTGCTAAGGAAAAACCTGTTATCATTCATATAAAATTTATATGATTCATGACAGGATTTCCTTGATAGTACTTAAATAATTGCAAATTAAGTATAATTATCGTTATGCAGCAAAATTAATTTTCTTTCAAATTTTACTATAATAGTAATAAAGAAAAAATCATGGATTTATATATGATTTATTAATGTATTTGATTAAGAAATATTATCTTTAAAGAGACAAGACCTATTATCACATTATTAATATGAAATCTCAAAATCTGATTGGTTGGCTCATTACACTATTTTGCTACAGGCAATCCTATATAAGAACTATTTCTAAATAACAAATATTATTCTTATGATAAGCAATAAGCTCTAAACCTATTAGCAGATAGTGTATAAAAACTATTTTTAAATAATAGACACTAGTTTATAGTTCTTATCAATTTTATATTTTTTTCTAATATAGTTTTACTGTTTTATATTAAAATTTTTTATTTTAAAAAGTTAGTTCAAGTGATCATTGGGAAGAGTTAGTATTTATCTAAATTAGATATCCAATAATAAATATTTATATTGTAATAAATAATCTTCTAATTTTTAGTTAACTTCATAAAATACTGAATAAAAATTGGCTAAATATTTTTTTAGTCAATTTGATTGTAATTTTAATATAATTTATGTAATTTTTGTATTATATAAGTTATTGCTTATCCAACATGTTTAATATATTAATAATTATTAAAAAATATAAAAAAAAAGTACTATATTAATTAGATTATATATAAAAGTTTATCTATTAGCAAAGGTATAGTCTCTTAACAAAGTTGAATAGCTCTTAAATAGAAATTAAACCTCTTAGCAAGAGCTTATAGTTGTTTTTATAAATTTTGAAATATAAAAAAAAAAAAAGATATTTAGCCAATTTAATAAGTTTTTAATTTATATAATAACAATAAACTTTTTATTTAAATATATTAATTAATATAGTAATATATTTTAAATAAATTTTGCTTAAATGCATATTTAAATGTTTGGTATGTTTAGTTTATACAAAATTTATAGCAAGTTGTTTTTACAACCAACAGATAGATTTTAACAAAAAATATAAAAAAAGTTCTGAATATAACAACTCGAATTTGGTATAAACAATTCTATATTGTAAAAATCTAATAAATTTATAAAATAACTTAAATATAATACTGTAATAAAATTAAATAAAAAAAAACAAACTATATAATTATTAGTTAATTTAAATAATTAGCTTTTTTTTTTTCAAGAAAAAAAATCTTTGTAATGTTGAGATAGTTCTAATTCTAATTCTGAATTTAGTTCTATATTTAAATCTAGTTCTATACTAGATTCAGTTTTAATATATAAAACTTCATTACTTGTAATTAATTTAGCAAATTGATAAAATAGACTACGATTTTTAAAATTATTCAATATAAAAAAAGTATTACTAAATATTATATTAACAGACAATTACAGAGTATATATATTTAAAGAAAATACTCTATTTTTAGTTTATCCTTTTATTATCATATTTGGTAGTTTTGAGCTAGAGATTTAAAAAAAATATCAGATATAGCTAAAGAAAATATATTATAAGCATCAATTAGTATAGATATAGCTAATTTAGAGTGTATTAATTTTGTAATATCTTAGTTTAATAAACTTTATTACTATTTTTATCAAAAAGTAAGTTGTAACAACTTTGTGTTTTTTGCTTTTTTTTTATTTAACTATTTCTAATATAAAAGCAGTTTTTTAAACTAAAAATACACTATATTGCCTTTTTAACTTTAGCTAATATTGAATTATAATAGTTTTTAATTTTTACTAAAAGCTATTGAACAAAATTGTTAATATAATAACTTTATAAAAATTATTATTTAAGTATTTTAAAAAAAAAACCAACAATTTAAAAATAGTATACAGTGCCTGGCTACATTATTGTAAACACTTTTTGAAATTTAATTTTTAGAAATCAGATAAATAAACATTGTACAAAATTTTTACTACATAAAAAGTAGATCGCAACATACAATATACTAAAATTTTGTACAATTTTGTTAGGCTGTATAGAAGTTATGCAGGAAGTTTGACTAACTTCTATTTTTAGATCAGACCAAAAATTGATTTTTGGTTTTTTTTCTTTTTAGAAAAAAAATCACCAAAAATCGTATTTTTGTCAAAACTGATTCAAATTTTGCTTAAATATTGTGTGATACCTGGCTAACATTATGCAATATAAAAATGCCAAATTCATATAGCAAATTTAGTGTGATATCTTTTTTTTTTCTGTGCCCTACTATATTATCATGAATGCTTTTTAAAAAATTATTTCTTGGGATCAAATAAGTAAATGCAGCCCAAATTTTATATCATGTAAAAACCAGATTTCAGAGTACAACATTTATAGGAAAAAGATCATCTGATTGGTCAGATTTTGTGTTGATCCTGCACATAATCAAAGTAATCCGATTGGCCAATTAACATAAATTAATAAATTTAATACAATATCAAATTGTCAATATTATTATATAGTATGCGAAAGTGTGCAGTATATAATATTTGATTTACTGATTAAAAATGAGCTAAATATAAAAAAAAATTTATCAATCAATTTTTAAATATTGAACTCAAATGATTATTATTATTAATTAAAAAACACAGTTTTAAATATTGTGCTTAACTAAACAAAAACTGATTTAATTATTATTAATTAAATATACTTGTTTTAATTAAAATTTTAATCTAAATCTAAATGCATTACTGCTTAATGTAATTTTTTTTGATTCTTAAATACAAAAGTATTTATTTTGATTTTAATGTCATTTTTTATACTTTAATATATCTAAAAATGCTATTTAATTTACTCACATTTAATATACTAAAAAATAATTTATTTTTGTACTTTACAGTTTTTATAATAGATAAATATACTAGCTGAATCAAGCTAATAATAGTATTAATATAATATAAATATAAAATTATATGATTTAGTGCAATTTGGTTTAATTATACTAAATTATATAATTTTTGTGTTTTTGTTAGAGTGCTAACAGATATTATATAATATTTTAGAGAGAGTAAAAAATTATCTTAAACTATATATAATTTTATATAAGAAAGATCTTATGTGGGGGGAAGAGGGATACTCTCTATAGTAAAAAAATATTATGTAATATATGTTATAGCCCTTACTGCATTACACACAGTATATATTATAACATTACAAATATTATTTTATATTTACTCTTATATAATAAAAATTTTTTTATTTTTTATACAAATTATAAATATTACAAAACTTAAAAAAATTTAATATTAAAGCAAAAGAAATTGTGATACTAAAATATTCCAAGAAGCTAAAATATTATTAGCAGATTCTTTAGTATTATTGTAGTCATCAAAAAAAGAATTAGACATTTCACTATTAGTTATTTTTACTGAATTAGATTCATATAAAGTTTCTAAGAGAGATTGAACATGTTTGTCAACACTATCTTTTATATAATCCAGATAGTACAAACATATAAATTTGTCTCAACTTAAATATATGTTATAGTAGAAATAACTATATATCAATACTTGACCTGTTTCTTTAGTAATAATAATGTTAGTATTGAAACAACTAAATAAATTATAATTATACAAATGTGGCCTATGTAAAGTACTATATCCAAATGGAAAATAGCAAAGCTATCCTTTTTTCATCTTTAATGCTAGAAAAGAAATACTAGTTTTAGGATTTGGTTTGCCTTTTCTTATTAGTTTTGTTTTTATAACCTGTGGTAGAATCAAAAACTGCATATTTTGATAATTAATACTAATATAAATTTCTTTGAAACAATCTAAAAGAAAACATGCAGTTTTTTGAATTAATACTATAATATTTTGAGTAGAATATTGATATATAGCCCAAGCCAATATGTAAACAAAATGTTCTTTAAACCTATCATTACTGAACTGTATATAATTAATATACTGTGCTTTCTTTATTATTTGGCTTGCTATAAGATATTTTTTAGTATTATGCTGTAAAATACTATGAAATATCTCTACAGGTGCATCAGAAAACTTGGTAGTTCTGCATTTATCGCTCTTAGAATTGGATAATTTTTTAGCTACCAATAAAAAATATCTGAAAGAATATTAAAGATACTTTAGTATAGTTTCTATGGTTGAATTTAAAAAAAATAGTTCAAACCTAGAAACATGATTTAACATAAGTATTAAAGTCATCTACTCGAAAAAATACAGTATAGATATCAAGAACCAAGAGAATATTATTATCTAATAAGACTTTGAGCACTAAATATTCAGCATCCTTATACACATAGCCAAATTTTAATTCTACTATTGCCACAATTTCTTGCTATATACTGTATAATAGTTCTAATAATAAATTTATATACTATAGTTTTAGTTTTTGGGGGAGTACTTTTTTTTTACCAAAAATATATTTGTATATTGCAAAGAAAAATAAATAGTATTAGAGAACTATCAATTTACAACTATTTAACAAAATATGTAAAGAACCTATTATGGAAAGAAATGATAAAACATTGTTAGTAATTCTGGAAAAGTTACTATAAACAAGACACTGTGATATAGTGTTTCTCAAATATATTTGACTAGGCCAGTCCAGTATTCTTAATTGATTTTGTGCTTTTTTTTTCTTTAAGCGAGCATCATAACTGTGAATAGTTAACATTTCAAT